TGTGCTCCGTGGTTAATAGGAATCACATACGGCTAAGGCTCCTCGAATAAATGTCCTCAGTGGCAACAGTGAGTATGGATACACAGTAAATCTTGTCGTCTACCTTGAAGGGTCGATGCTTGGACACCAGTGTCCAATTTAACGTTGAAAAACTATATATATCGAGTTGATTGATTGATTGGTCGATCATATGATTGATGATTGATGGATTGGAGTTGATAGAGATTTGGTCAGCATGGTGGTCTTGGTCCTGGTCCTTGGTGGTCCAATCACATGATTGATCGCGATCCATTCATGAACCTGTTGCTGTGCCAGTCTGCAAGATACTTACGACTTTATTGATTGGACCAAAGATCTCGTCGACTTGACCCAACTTCTGTTTGTTCTCTGTGAACACACGGCAGTTGAACTTTGGAATATCACTATGAGTTAATCTACAAACGATGGTCTCTTCGCTTGGATGTGTGAATGCTCCAAGCTCTATATATCATTTGATTCGATTGTATGTGTCAGTCATTATTATCCTGTGAATGTGATGTGTAGTCGCGGCATCTGTCCTCCTCCAAAGTGTCTATCTTTGTGCTGTGCTGTGTCGTTTGAATGAATGAATGTATGATGATTCCTTACCAATGACAGTATCTGGGATGGCATCTCTGTCACGGGGGGCACCGCCGCCATATCCGCCACGACCACCACCGCCAAAGCTGCCGCCACGGCCTCCGCCAAAGCTGCCACCACGGCCCCCGCCGCGCCCGCCTCTGTCACCGCCTCCAAAGCTACCTCCTCTTCCTCCTCTTCCGTATGATGACATGTCTGTGTGCTTGGTTTAAAATAATGTAAATATAATATAATATATATCTATCTATTACAACAAGCTTTTTAGAGTTGGTGGTGGATGATGGATGATTCTCGCTTTCGACTCACTCATCAAAAGTAATTACTTCGTCTCGTCGTGCTCGTTTGGACTTGTTAACAAAAATTAAAAAATATTCATTCATGTGAGAGTGTGGAAAGCGAGTCCCGCACACTGGTTGATGATTAAGGTCAATCCAAATGGTAACGTTGCTTCACTTGATCAATGATCTGGACTATCTTTGAATGTTTGGATGTGAGTTGAGTACAACTTTTGTTGTTTGTTCAAGAAGTAGTACTTGGTCTATATATATATATCTACAACAATAACTTTGAGATTTTCGCAATTCCAATCAACAACTCTGATCATACTTGAATGGTAACTGATCAATCACAGACTGGAATAATCATTGAACACAAAACCAACCAATAATAATAATAACACTACCAAATATATACCTCAATAATAATAATAATAACATCTCTCTAGTATTGATCAATCAATTCAAATCAATTTCAAAAAAGGACAATTTGGAGTCAATCAAATAACTTGGGTATCTTTGGCAAAGGGTGGGTCGTCTTCACTCACTTTGAATTTATTACTAAAACAGTGAAACAAACCCACCAAACTTATGTTGTGTGTATGGAAGATCTGACTGTGAGTGTGTGGGGGTTTGGAGATGAAGGCATGCTGTGAAGACAAGACATCGCATCCTATCATCCCTCCTCCCTACTCCCTCCCTTCCTCTATTTATTTAATCTAGAATCTCCACTTTATTATCTTTATTTAATTGTATACATAGTTGTAATTATAGAATCTTTATTACTTTACCACCCACCCATTAACATTATAAATAACATCTAAGAAGAATGACTCTCAAGGTTGATTTGTTCACATCATCTGCCACCGGCATGCTGAAGATCAAGAAGGATCAAAGTGCACTTAAGACTCTTTTGGAGGCCAAGGGCATCAAGTACAATGGTATGTTTAGTGTGAATTGGTTGATTGATTGATCTTCATAGATTGATTGAAATTGAATGCATGTTCACTTACAAACGTCATCTCTCTCCTAAATGCACAGAGTACGATGTCGCCTCTGACACTGAGAAGAGATTGTGGATGAAGGAGACAAGTGGAAAGACTGAGTTGCCACAGGTAACTATACTAGTTGGATGATGACCAGTCAGCTTGGGCAGACCCATGTTGTACAACATTATACTAATTCCTCATTCCTCGCCCGCCCCTTACTCACTCACTTTCTCACTTACACTAGTTGTTCGTCAATGACAAGTTTGTTGGCAACTACGACGATCTCCAGGAGCTTGAGGAGGGTGGAATGTTCATGGACCTCTTCAAATAAACAGCACGCGTAGATCTGGATCACTCTCTTATCTCACTGCCATAATCATAACCAAATCAGACTCATCGTTGTCATCATCATTATAATCATCGAAATATCGACGTTGGATTAGCTGATTACATTCTTACTCTTCTGGTTTTATTACATCACTGCTACCCTGCTACTGTTGCGTCGACGGCAGGTAGTTCAGTCCACTCCAATCATTCCCTATTGGAGTGACTTATGGTACATATACTTCAGCTTGTCTTGAACCGGCTTTGGATGATAAATAATAATAATAATTAATGTTGTTGGATGTTGGATGTTTGGATTTTTGATTGATGGATGATGATAACGGATGCTCAATCTGATAGATCCACTGCATCTTCGTCTTCAAAGCTATCATTGTCCTCGTCCAGTGTTGATCCGGATGTCGAGAGGTTGGCATTCCTCATCGTCTGTCCATTATAAATAGGTGATGTTGGTGATGTTGGTGAAGTTGGCGATGTACTACTGCTCTGTACAATGTTGCTATAGTAGTTGGTATTGTTGTTGTTGTTGATACTGCTACTGCTTGTTGAGTTTACTAGTTCACTGATGTTGTTGTTGCTGTGGATTGTTGGCGACCTGGTCTGCTTGGGAGGCGGCTCAAACACTGCTGGCGGACCGCCAAAGATCTTTTCAAAGTTCTGGATCATTGTGGAGATGACCATGTTGCCCAGGGCAATGTCCTCGACGACAATGTCCACCTGCGACACCAAGATGTTTGGACCGACCACCGTGGCCAGATTGGCCGGACCCATCCTATTCTTGCCATTGAGCGATATCTGATTGAGCAGGTGCATAAGCGAGTGCAGCAGGTTGTAGTTGTTCTTGGGCAGCGAGTGCACCAGCTTGGAGATCTTGTTGACACGCTCCTCCACCGACTCGATGTTGCACACGTCGATAAACTCGTTATAGCGGTTGTAGGTGAGCAGTGGCTCGGGCTGCAGCTCGCGCAGGAACAGCTTGACCAGGTTGCACACGACGTGCACGTCGAACGTGTTGGCCAGGTTATACTCCTTGCCCTCGTCTATCAGGCGCTTGTACTCGACCACCTCCTTCTTGGGGCCAGACATTCTGAACAATCCTTCCTCGTCCATCTTGTTGCGAATCACCTGGAAGGCGCATGACACGAACGCAGGTATTGGCGCCTGGTCGCGCGTCACCAGCACGTTGAGGTCCTCGCCAAACACCTTGTTGCGCAGCGCTTCGGGCTTGACCGACGGCGAGAGCATCATGCTCATGCGCACCTTGGACTTCTCCAGCTCGGACTTGCGCTTCTCCACGTACAGTCTGTACTCGTAGACGTCGGGGATCATCTGTGCCAGCCAACGGTAGCCCTTCTGGAAGAAGGTGTGATAGCTGTCGAGGTAGTCGCAGAGCTTCTCCACCGTCTCAAACTCTGAGATGATGTTGGTGTCCTGCAGTTGAGTCCTGGTCTCGAGGCCAATCAACTCAAACTCCTTTCCAAGCTTATCACACTCTTGTTCCTGCTCCGTAATCTTGGTAGGCTTCACATTCTTTGTCTTCTTCAAGTTGCTCAACTCACTCAATGATGCATCATATCCTACACGTGACTTGTCATAGTCTCGCTTGGCCTCCTGTACTCATGTCATTGATTTGGCCGCGTCAGTATATCATGCTCCTCACTCATTCATTCTCGAGATGACTTCAACATACCTGTGCCTGCTTCAACTCTGTCTTGACCATCTTCTTTAGTGGATCGCTGACATCGTTGATTAGTGATGAGTCTAGTTTGGCCTTCAAATCTTCAAAGCCAGCCTGGAACTCTCCAATCTTTGAAAGTATACCCGAGAGAATAACCATGTCTGGATAAGTATCTCTAACATGTACACTATAGTCTATGAAGTTATCCGCAAGTTCTGTACCATCCTGTATGCTCACTATATAGATTGATCGTTGTTAGTATAATGTGTCGAGTCGCCAACATCATTGATTGATTGATTGAATGATCATACCTCCAGTGCTGACGGTCTCCTTCTCAATTGCTTTGGTGAGCTTCCTCAAGTAGAATCTACTCTCTTGTACATGCTAAATATAGTTTGTTAATCAATGTCAGCATGAAGTTGATTGATTGATTGAATGAATGAATGAACGAATGAATGATCATACCTTTTCAAGCTCCTTCATCTCTTCAGGCTCAAGAGTATTCTCCCTGTTGGCAGTCTTCTCCATCACATTCTGTTTGGCAATGGCGAATGATTTCTTTAGTTTCTTCATTTCTTTAGTTCTTTCTTCTTCTGTTTGTTATACAAGTAATAATAAGTATAAGTATAATGAATGATTGAATGATTGAATGAATGAGTGAATGAATGAATGTATGAATGAGATCAAAGAGTTAGATATGAAATGGCCCCAAAACCCCTTGATGTGGTTGTTTTTGGGTTTGTCCCTGGCTGTTTGCGAGCCATGTCGTCTACCTTTTCGTGCACGACTCATCACCCATTTGATTATTTGGGGATTCTATTCATTACCAACTACTCAGTGCCAATGCCAAAGTACAAAGTATACAATAGTTTAGTTTGACCAAGCTTGGTAGGTCTTAGCCTCAAGCTTTATATATTTATATTGATGAGTTGGAAACTATGTGTGATCGATTGATCGATCACTTGCGACATGATCTTAGGGCAAAGAAATCGATAGAGTTGTGACCAAGTAGTGATCGCTCATACTCCATCAATTGGTGAAGGAATCCACTGTTGATATTGATGCGTGGTATATTCTTGGCAACTGTTTCATAACTCTCTCTAAGCGTCAACTTCAATCTCTTCATACCATATGCCACTGCAATCGATGTTGATCTACTGCGTCCCTCGCGACAATGTATCAGTACGCCACATCCTCCGGCTCCATTATCACTACCATTGCCATTGCCATTGCTATTGCTAATGCTGATACCATTGTTGCTGCCACTGATACTGCCAATGTCGGTGCCATCTCCACTGCTATTATTGCTACTTCCAGCATCGCCACTACCACTACCACTGCCACTAATACTGCCACTGTCACTTCCACTACCAATGCCACTGTTACCTCCAGCATGCTGACCATCATTCACACCAATGGATTGACTGAGACCTCTGTCAATGAAGTCAACGGCCTCGTCAAAGTGCAGACTGATGGGTTGATCGATTGAATCGGACACACTGATACGCATGAAGTTGGTGTTCTCACCCAACTCCTTGGGCTGTCCAATCTCTTTGGTGACGTTCAGTATCGATCTGATGTTGTTCTGACTCAGCCACTCTCTGTTGGACAGGCATTTCTTGCCACCAACATACAGCTTGGGCACTGGCATGGGTACGGGCACAGGCAAGGACAAGGGCACAGGTTCTGGCACTGGCACAGGTTGGGTGGTACTGTTGTCACTGGTAGTAGCGACGACAGTAGAGGCACCGACAGTAGTGGCGCCGACAGTCGTGGCGCCGGCGAATGCCAGTGAACCTATTATACCACTCTCTTCATCGAGTTGTTGTTGGCTCTTTAGCGGCAGCGAGGGTGCCAGAGTTGGGTACATGACCACCTGGAAGGAGTTGGACTTGTTCTTTGCCGGTGACAGAGTGAACTTGAGTTGAAACCTCTTTTGATTGAATGCCTTGGCCGCTGGTGAAGCGGTCGCAAGGGCCTTGGCGGCAGCCGACAGAGTACTTGTACCCCTTGCACTTGTCGCAGTAGGTCCATGATGCCGACTCTTAGGTGGCCTACCCCTTGGCCGTTTGGGTGTTGTTGTTGTCCGTTGTGAGGAGTCGGAGGACTCCTCCTTCTTCTTCTTCTTCTTTGGGGTTGTCGTAACCAAGTGTGAAGTGCCAGTGGCTGTAGAAGTGATAGTCTTTGTCTTCTTCTTTGACGTTGTAGTGGAGGTTGTAGTCGATGGCGTTGACGATGATGATGGGGTGACAATGTTCTCCTTCTTGTGCACCGCCAACACTCTTCTTGATGAAGTTGGTGGCAACTTCCAATATGCTCCATCCAATGCAGAGTCGAGTATATTCTTTCGTCGACGATTGTTGTTTACAATTACCCTATTGGATTGCTCTTGATCTACTTTCTCATCAGTTGTAGTTGTCAAAGTAGTAGTAGTTGTTGTTGTTGTCGATGTTGTCGATGTATCATTGTTGTTGATGTCCTGCTCAACAATGTTTGAGTGACCTTGACTTTGATGATGTGACTCAGATCCAAACCGAGCCAATTCCATTAGTTGTTGTCGCAAGTTGATTGCAACATTGTCATCCATCATTGATGATGATGATGATGTGTCATTGTCTTTGTTGCTGTTGATGTCATTGTTGTTGTTATTGGGAACAGCAACATCCTTGATTGGTGTGTTTCCAGTAGAGTTCAATCGAATGAGATTGAATCTCTCAAGTAGTGAGTCTTGTCGTGACATAGGTGATGTCACAGGTTGAGTCGATGGTATCATATCCTCATCTTCATCTTCATCTTCATCTTGGTCTACATCCTCATCTTCCTTCTCTATCTTGTCCACATTCTCTTGTTTAAACTGGACAGGTTGATCATCGACCATTGGTTCATTGTTTGCGAATAGTATATGTACTGATGATGTACCCAACCAAGCGGCATCTGATGTTGTTTGACTGTTGGTTGATGCAACTGATGATGATGACGATGTTAAAGATGATGAGTTTGAACTAGTTGTTGTACTGGTCACTAATGGTGATGTGTAGGTGTTGTCTACTACATCTACATGTACATGTACATCAGTCTCATCGATTGGTCTGTCTACTACTTGTTGCTGTTGACTTTGTTGTTGACTTTGACTTTGTTCCTGCTGTTGCTTTTTCTCCTGCCTCAGTTGCTTTGCTATTTGCCTCTGTTGTTGTAGACTCTTTAGATTATTGATTGATTGTTCATTCAATGGATGTGGCTTCCTCTCTCTCTTTGTTGACATGGTCGCCCAGTAGGGACCATCAAAGTTATCCCATTTATTGTTCATGTTGCTTATTGGCTTATTGATTATTATTATTGTTGGCGACCATTCATTACTTAGATAGGAGAGTTAGTTAGATAGTTATGTAAGTGAATGTGTGGAGTAATTTGCAAAGGTGTGTCCAACAACAGACGCGGCATCCCTCAACGACTGAATTTTTGAATTCAAATCATATTCCTATCTTGGTAATTTTGGTTAACGAAGATAACATTTAATATCTAAATATAAGATGAGTAAATATAAATATATAAATATTATCTTAAGAATAGATAGTAGATATTATCTCAAAGGACATGTCTTTGGGAAATAGGACAAAGAATGAAGTTCATTAGTAATTGATTATGTGTTATGAGTTTTTTTCTGGATCATTCTCATTAATGTTGAAAACCACTCACAACGACAAAGATAAAACTAAAGTCATTCTCTTGTCAGTTCATTCATTCAAACAATACAACAACAAACAATAACAAACAACCCATGAACATTGGTTTGTATTAACAACAACAAGATATTAATAGAACTACATAACAACTTATATGAATAGTTAAATCACATTACATTACATCACATTACATCACATCATTAATAATAATAATACAAAATGGTATGTCATTCAATCACATCACATCACGATTGAGTGATTGATTGATCAATAACTAACATGTACAAACAAACAAACCAAATGATCAATCCAATCAATCAATCAATCATATTGAATTTAGTCAACAGCTAAACTTGATTTCGTTAGAGCTTATGAATTGGAGGTTCAGAAGCAGTGGAATGATTCGAAAGAGTTCGAGGTGGATGCACCAGAGAATGGAGATTCGAATGAGGTCGTGCCAAAGTATATGGCAACATTCCCTTATCCATATATGAACGGTAGATTGCACATTGGACACGTGTTCACCGTCACCAAGGCTGAATTTATGTGTCAGTACCAGCGTCTCAAGGGAAAGCGTGTGCTCTTCCCCTTCTCCTTCCATTGCACTGGCATGCCCATCAAGGTCTGCGCCGACAAGTTGAAGTACGAGATGGAGACCTTTGGATGTCCCCCAGTATTCCCAGTCGATGAGCCAGAGAAGAGTATGTCATTCATTGATTGATTAATTGAATGAATGAATGAATGACGCGAGACTAACACACATGATCACACGAATACACAGAGGTTGAATCAGCTCAGAAGAAGGAGGATCCATTGGCATTCAAATCAAAGAAGTCAAAGGTACAGGCAAAGACAGGAGGCATTGCAAGACAATGGAATATTATGAAGAGTTTGGCTATACCTGATGAGGAGATTCCAAAGTTTGCCGACTCTGCATATTGGTTGAACTACTTCCCACCTCACTGCAAGAATGATTTGCAATCGATTGGAATGGGCATTGATTGGAGACGTTCGTTCATCACCACCGACGTCAACCAGTACTACGACTCGTTCGTGCGCTGGCAGTTCGAGACGTTGAAGGAGCTCGGCAAGGTCAAGTACGGCAAGCGTTACTCAATCTGGTCGCCCACCGACAACCAGCAGTGCTCAGATCACGAGCGTGCCTCGGGCGAGGGCGTGCAGCCACAGAACTACACCTTGATCAAGCTCGAGGTGTTGGAGCCTGTGCCCGCCTGTTTGAAGGCCATCGCCGATAAGGGCAAGAAGATCTACTTGGTGCCAGGCACCTTGCGTCCAGAGACCATGTACGGCCAGACCAACTGTTGGATCCTCCCAACGGGCAAGTATGGCGCCTTCCAGATGAAGAACAACGAGGTCTTTGTCTGCACTGAGCGCTCAGCCAGGAACATGGCCTACCAGGAGCTCACCGAAGTCAACGGCAAGTATGAGTGCTTGGCCGAGTTCACTGGTGCTGAGATCCTCGGCGCCGCTTTGAAGGCCCCGTTGGCCGTCCATCCCAAGGTCTACGTGTTGCCAATGTTGTCGATTGACGAGAACAAGGGCACCGGTGTCGTCACCTCTGTGCCCAGTGACTCGCCGGACGACTACGCAGCATTGCAAGACTTGAAGCAGAAGGAGCCATTGAGAAAGAAGTTCAACTTGGACGACTCGTGGGTCCTCCCATTCGAGGTCGTTCCCATCATCAACATCCCCGACTACTCCACCACGGCCGCCGTCAAGGCCTACCAGGACTTGAACATCAAGTCGCAGAACGATCGCGCTTTGCTCGACCAGGCCAAGGACTTGGTGTACATGCGTGGTTTCAATGAGGGCATCATGATGGTTGGTCAGTACGCTGGCAAGAAGGTTGCCGACGTCAAGAAGCAGATCAAGGACGAGCTCGTCGAGAGTGGACAGGCCTGCAACTACAGCGAGCCAACATCACCAGTCACCTCGCGTTCCGGTGACGAGTGTGTCGTTGCCTTGACCGATCAGTGGTACATCAACTATGGTGAGGAGGACCCCGAGTGGCGCAACCAAGTGATCAAGACTCTCGAGTCGATGGAGCTCTACTCGCCAGAGACCAGGAAGCGTTTCGAAGCCGCCATCAACTGGCTCAACCAGTGGGCATGCTCGCGTTCGTTCGGTCTTGGCACCAGATTGCCATGGGACGAGCAGTTCTTGATCGAGTCGCTCTCAGACTCCACCATCTACATGGCCTTTTACACCATTGCTCACTTGTTGCAGTCGGACTTCAACGGCAAGGTCGTTGGCACTGCTGGTATCCAGGCTGGTCAGCTCACCCGCGCTGTCTGGGACCACATCCTCTTGGACAAGCCATACCCCGAGGGCTGTGGCATCATCAAGGAGACACTCTCCGTGTTGAAGCGCGAGTTCAACTACTGGTACCCATTGGATCTCCGTGTCAGTGGCTTCGACTTGGTCCAGAACCATTTGACCTTCTTCCTCTACAACCACGCAGCCATCTTTGCCGAGAAGATGCAGCCACGCGGCATCCGTACCAACGGATTCGTCTTGCTCAACGGTGAGAAGATGTCAAAGTCGAGCGGCAACTTCCTCACTCTCTTTGACTCTGTGCAGCAGTACTCTGCCGACGGCACTCGTATTGCCTTGGCCGACGCTGGTGATGGACTTGAGGACGCCAACTTTGTCGACAAGACCGCCTTGTCCGCCTTGTTCAAGCTCTACACCCAGCTCCAGTGGGTGCAGGAGATGATCGACGCCAAGGCCAAGTTCTACACCGGTGCCCCCACCCGTTTGCAAGACATCATCTTTGAGTCTGAGATCAACCGTGCCATCGTCAAGGCCGACGAGGCCTACCAGAAGTCTCAGTTCAGAGAGGCGTTGCACACCACCTTCTTCGATATGATCAACGTGCGCGATCACTACAAGATGGTGATGGGTGCCGATGAGAACATGAACCACGACCTCATCTTTAGATACATCGAGACACAAGCCATCCTCCTCTTCCCAATCACCCCGCACTTCTCCCAGAAGGTGTTCAGCATGCTTGGCAAGGGCTCCGTGGCCAAGGCCAGATGGCCAACCGTGTCCAACATCGATCACCTCGCCTTGAGAACCAACGACTACCTTAAGAACACAGTGTACGAGGCCAGAAACAAGATTGGCATGTTCCTCAAGGGCAAGAACAAGGGTGGAAAGACCGATGCCAAGGCTGAGAAGGCCACCATCTACATCACCAAGACGTTCCCCAAGTGGAAGCAGACCGTGTTGATCTACCTCCAGTCCATTTACAACGACGCCACTCGCACCTTCACCAAGGACATCAATGCCATTCTCGAGGATCTCAAGAAGGACCAGGAGCTCAAGCCACAGCTCTCCAACATGATGGCCTACGTCAGAATGCTCCAGGACGACATCAAGATCGAAGGCAAGCAGGCCCTCGACACATCCATGCCATTCGATGAGAAGGACGTCATCCAACAGAACCTCGAGTACGTCACCAGATCACTCGAGTTGGCCACCATTGAGGTCCAAGAGGTTATCGATGTCACCGTCAAGGGTGCTCCAACCCCAGGCAAGCCAACCTACTTGATCCAATAAACAATCAAACTTTGTCCATCCCCAATACTAATTACCGACTTACATTGTCTATTAATATTTTGGAATCCACCAAAGAATACATTGTCACCTACACATCGATGTGCAAGGAGAAAGCAAACAAAACGAGGGACAGGAGGAAGGTAGAATTGAATAAACTATGAACCATGTGCATCATCACTACACGACCCATTGTTGATTCAAACCAACCATGATCCTATATTTAGATGTAGACCCAATCATTCTTCCTATTAAATCAATTGATTGCCCATAATTGATTATGGTTTCTTTCAAATCTTTCCCATATTGGTCTTTTCCCGACCATGGGTCAAGGCCTTGACCCAGACTAGCAATACTAAAGTACCTAAGTATATTGCCAAGTAGTCGCCAGAGTAAATACCAAAGTAGTCGCCAAATAATATTGACGCTCTAGGTGGGAGTTTGATTGATGAAGGCCTTCATCAAGTGCATAATAGAGAATTACAAGGGATATGTACAATAAACACTTGATGAACAAGTTTATTCATTCTAATGAACATAGGCATCAAGGCCAGCAAGCTTCCTTGCTCGGTCGGTGAGGGTCGGAAGTGTTTCCTCTTCGAATTGGAAGTTGACATGGGTCCTCGGTGCCTTGGGGAAGAGCTTGATGTTCTCGGCAGCCCAATGACTGGTCATTCGCTTCTCATAGAAGGCGTTCTGCTTCTTGCCCAAGTCCTCCTTGGTGATCAATGATGCGGGTTGGTATGATGTGTAGATCACCATACGACATTTGCCAGCGGTTGGTGCACAAGCCCAGTGGATTGTACGTGAGTCCCACAGAACTACATCGCCAACATTGCAGCATACCTTTATCTCCTTGCAGTCCTTGAAGTAGTTGAGCTTCCTGGGGTCGTCATTGAACTTGTACCAGTCGCCATGGGAGTTGATGTGCTGCTCGGTGAAGTATTTGTCGTGTTGAAGATGCGACTTCTCGTAGACGATGAGGCCGCCATCGTTCTGTTGGCAGTCCATCAGATTGAGGAATCCTTGAATGCATCGGAAGCCAAACTTCTCGCTTCCCTGATCAAAGTGAGGCCATGGCCTGCCCAGGTCTTGTCCTGGACGCGCCAGGTTGCCTCCATCAAAGCTGACCAAAAGTTCATCAGTGTTGTAGATCTGAGTGAAGATATCGATGATTGGTTGCTCGGACCTAATGTCCCAGACGAATTGATTCTGACCAAATGAGTACTGTTGTAGGATGCCGTGGATGTTACTCGGCCACTTCTCATCAGTCCATGTTGATCGCTTGTTGCGATCGATGCCCGTACCAAAATCCTCGAGCCACTTCCAAAATGCAGACCTATACACCTCACATCTCTCCTCTGGTACAACATTGCGTACTATTGCCCAACCATTATTATAAAGGTCCTTTCTCCATTGTGGCCAATCCTCTCTAAAAGTATTACAAGATTCTTCTAATATTGATTCGGACATTGTATAAATGTTTGATTGTTTGTTCGATTGTTCGATTGATATAGATTGATTGTAAGTATGTATGTGTTATAACTTAGTTTAATAACTTAACTAATTAAACAAGTTGTTGGTGTTCACCTCAACATTCTCTTCACTTTGGATGATCACAATGATGTCTGGTGCAAACCAACACGGAATTTTCAGAGAATGTAATTGGCAAGTTGTGTCTGCTAAGTGATATCGAGAAACAATGAATGAATTTGGATGTAATAAGTATAATTATTCCACAACATAAATGGAATCAGTCATTGACTTAGGATTAATTGTTTATCTTTGGTTGGATTGGGGGTGTTGTTGAATGGAGCTGGGTTCCAATGGTTTCTAGTAATATCACTTGATAGGTATGATTGAGAAGAAAACCATGGTCCAATTACCAATCAAACAACGGGTAATTTGTTGGGAATTTGCTAATTTGTAACGAAGTAAGAGAATCTCTGGGCATACATTGAGTATGATAGCGAAATCTCTAAAGAGTATGTTTAGGTAACTACCTTTCAATAACATTAATCTTCAATGTAATCTATCATCATGTGGACCATATTGTTTATGGGTTGTCTGTTTGATCAAACAAATAAAATGTTACAGCAAATGGAAAATATCAGGAAGATGTACTTCCAGCCAGGTAAATGATTGTCTTTGTTTGTGACCAATCACGAGAATGGAAAGAACATTCTTTGGTATTTTTCCAACCAGGCGCATCAATACATGGTCAATGTCTTCACCTTGGAAGTAAACAAGTCTCCAATTGGTTTCTCGACAAATGAACGCTATTACTCTACATAGGAATTCTTCATAAGATAGGCCATCCAGATCAATCAATAAGTCAACCAATCAATCTTTATTATTCGTCCGCTTGGTCCATTCCTGTTGTTTGATCGATCAGTCAGCCAGTCAGTTAGTTGGTTAGTATGGATGGTTGTTTGATCGTTTGGTTGTTGATCAACACTTACATTATGGTTTACTTTGGTAACGTCTGATTCTGTGGCCACAATCTTTAGATAGTGACTAAGATGATATAGTACATTGTCTGGTTGTTTCTGTTCCTTTATCTTAAAGGCTGGTATATGTACACCGTTCTTGGGATTCATGGCAAAGTTCTTGCTTAGATCATCCACGTGCAATGTGTTCTTGGCAGTGTAATACTGTCCCAACACCTTGTGACTCCAAATAATATCCAACGCCTTGACCTGATGTTTGATCTTTGTTCTCTCCTTGCCTGACAATGCTCTATATGTTGTTACGCTAAACATCAATGTTTGATCCAAAACTATTTACTCGCTCAAATGGTCAGTACACATGTCACCATTCATTCAATCAATCAATCATTCATCATAACATACCAAAGCCAATCTTGAAGTTTGGGTTGGTCAGCATTCCAAGCTCTGTCAACTTGATCTCTATCCATTTCCAGCTCGTCTGTTGATTGATTGATTGATTGAGTGATTGAATGAATGAGTGAGTGGACTTGACACGTCATGTCCTGGACACCTGGACCAACATACCTGTGACCAAATAGCAATATCATAATGCTCATATGATGCTGTAAGGAACTCCTCAAGGTATGGCCTCTTCATGTTGGCAACATCTTGATCCTTGAAGTCGAGTAATGTGTGATCGAGATCAAGTACCAACAACTTCTTGTTGGCACGTGGTGCGTTGATGATGGCAATCTCTGCCTTTTCTCTGATCTTGACCAGCTTGCTCTTGTTCTCCTCGAGATGAGACAACTCGTCCGAGTCGGGAATGTAGTCAAACTCCAGATCGTTAAAGACGTTGTCGGCGTCGGATGGGGGTGGCGCCTGGATGATCTGGGCCTCTGGTGTGCCCATCATAATGATACTGTGATTGGGTGGTATGTTCAGACTGCCAATCACGGTCTCATCGGGAGGCAGCAAACCCTTTGACAGGCCCAATATCTTTTGTCTCTTTGTCAACACATTGGTCAATGTCTCCAACTGTCTCTTCAAGTCCAATATAGTATTTGTCTTTTCTATCGATACCTTAAACTCCTTTCCACTCCATTTAGCTCTAATATTTATAATCTCTGCTGCTGCTGCTGGTGCTTCAACTACTAATGTTGTATTTGTATTTGTATTTGTATTTGTAGTAGATGTAGTTGTAGTAGTATGTATTGATGAATCTATGTCCTTCTCCTTATGTTGATCAGCAATAGGAGTATCAACAGTCACCGCCGTGCCTGTTGTAGATGATTCAGTCCTTTCAGAATCAATCATATTATATTATTATTATATCTTTAATGTTATATATTTATATATATTAATGTTCTTGTATCTATATCTATATAATATATATATTAGAATGTTTATTAATTAATACACTCTTTCAAACAAGTTTAATTATAACTCCTTCACTTTCATTCATTCATTCATTAATCATCATCTAAACAAACACAACCCCAATTCATTCAAACACATCATCTCATCTTTAGAGAGAGGTAGAGGCAGTCAGATGATGCTCTTGAGGATGATGGGGTAAGTTGAGTTACTGCTTGTTTGGATGAGGGCAACACACACACACACACACTCACACACACAAAGTATAGATACTCACAATCATTCTTACCTCAACCTACTTATGATAAGAAGCCCCCACCATTGCCATTCTAACACGAAGAATGAGCACACGAATGTTACGGTGGGGTGATTCATAGAGGTCCAACAAACTTTGCGCGCACAATCTCACGCATTCACTCACTCTCACCACTCATTCACTCTCACTCTCTCACTTCACCTCTGTATTGTTATAACTACAACTACAACCAATTATTATTACTATCTACTTTATTACTACAAAACAAACATACAAATATAAACGACAATGGGATCAGCATTCGGAAAGCTCTTTGCATCATTCTTTGGAAAGAAGGATATGAGAATCTTGATGGTCGGTTTGGATGCCGCCGGAAAGACTACAATCCTTTACAAGCTCAAGCTGGGCGAGATCGTAACCACTATCCCAACGATTGGATTCAACGTCGAGACCGTCGAGTTTAGAAACATCAGCTTCACCGTGTGGGACGTCGGTGGACAGGACAAGATCCGTCCATTGTGGAGACATTACTTCCAGAACACACAAGGTCTGATCTTTGTCGTCGACTCCAACGACAGAGAGCGCACTCAAGAGGCCTGCGACGAGCTGCAAAAGATGCTCAACGAGGACGAGCTGCGCGACGCCGTCCTGCTGGTCTTCTGCAACAAGCAGGATTTGCCCAATGCCATGAGCGTTGCCGAGGTCACCGACAAGCTCAACCTACACTCACTCCGTCAGCGCAAGTGGTACATCCAGTCCACATGTGCCACCTCTGGCGATGGTCTCTACGAAGGACTTGACTGGTTGTCAAACACCCTCACCAAGCAATAAGATAGCTGCACTACTCTCATTACTTTGCTCTTTCCTCTCAAGTCTTCTTCTGCTTCTTCATCTTATTCCTACTTATTCAAGTCCACTGTGCTCTCTCTCAAGAGTGTACTACTTACTAACCATCACCTACTCCTCCAACGTCCAATTCAAGAGGAATGTACTACCAATCGATCAATACAAATGATCAATAACAAGGACGTCCCCCGATCTCAATCAATCATTCAATCATTCAATCAATCATCATATTCATTGATAATGTTTGTTTATTTGTTATATTTATATGGTATTATGGTTACCAATACCATCCAACCATTTAAGGGGCCACAAGGTTCACTCACTCATTGCCCCTTCATCGATCAACATCAATCACGCAACACTGTTTGCTTCTGATCATTCTTTGCAAAGTTTAGGGGTTTGTTGACAAAATTCAATTTTGGTGACTTTTTGCAAAGAGTCATTCATTCATTCATTCATCATCAAAGTGAAGTGAACTCATTCATTCATTTCATTCATCATACATTATATTTGTATTTATATATATATATCTATATCTCAAAGTAATAATAGTATATATCAGCAACAATAGTAATAACCATAACAATTAAATAAGAAATGGATTATAATATAATAAAGAATTATCTTTATTCGAATCCACCAAGCGATAGAGAAAAGATACCATCGTATTATATGCAGTTGAAGAATATTTTGGCTATATTGCATACGGATGATGATGATACTGCTGTGACACCAGAGGTCAAGTCAAACAATCAGGCAATCTCAGAGACGATCGAGGCCAAGATGAAGTATGTCGAGCAGAACTTCTCAGAGATGCTGCAGTTTGCAGGTGGTGACGGTCCGTCCTCGCCCAACCATCAGTCAACTGCCACTGGCGCGCAGTCCACGACGACCACCACCACGACCACTACAACAGAGACACAGCCCACTCAACATCATGACAATGCCTATGCCTACGTCAAGACAGCGATGATCCCCGTCGGCCTTGCTGGCCTTCCCCTCACTGAGAAGAAAAGGGTAAGAATCTGCGGATGGATAGATGGACGCGACACACCCATCACATCGCATCCTAATGACTCACTCGCTCACTCACTCACTCAATCAATCAATCAATCAATCATATGACAGAGCCATCTCCATCATCATCACAAGAGCTACGGCCCTCCAGAGATCCCACCCGAGGAGATCTTGTTCGACCCAAAGGTCGATCATCTGGGCGGCGGAGCATATGGCAAGGTGTACCGAGCTACGTGTCGCAGTAAGAAGGTCGCCGTCAAGGTGCCAAAGAAACAGACACTGAGCGAATCAGAGCTCAAGTCGTTCAAGCATGAGGTTGAGATTTGGAAGCAGATCTATCATCCCAACGTTGTAATGTGCATGGGTGCCTGCACCAAGCCAGGCAAGATCATGATTGTCTCTGAGCTAATGCAGTCTGACCTCGAGAAGATCATCCATTCAGACTCACCTCCACCCCTGTACCAGCGTATCAAGATGGCCTACGATGCTGTAAGTAGTAGATCATCATTGATTGATTGATTGATTGAGTGGATGATGGTGTCACATGACTAACCAATCCATCATGTCTACAGGCTCTTGGAATGAACTGGCTGCACGGCATTTGTAATATTCTTCACAGAGACTTAAAGCTAGCCAATCTAATGGTATGGAATAACATGTTCATTGATAGATTGATTGATTGCGACACATTCTCACTCACTCAATCAATCAATCTAGATTGGCAAGGACAATACAGTAAAGATCACAGACTTTGGATTCTCCCAGGTGCTCAAGTCGGGCACGACAACGACTGATCAACGTGGACCAAAGGGAACAGCACTGTACATGGCACCAGAGGTGATGCAGAAGAAGGAGTTCAATGAGAAGGCCGATGTCTACAGCTTTGGTCTCATCCTCTATGAGTTGGCCACATGCGAGGAACTATTCCCAGAGTACACAGAGATACAACCATTCTCAAATGTAATACTGATCACTCAACCAATCAATCTATCGATCATTCAATCACTCACTCACTCGTTCATACTCGCGTAGGCCATTTGCAACCAGAGACTTAGACCAACGATTCCAGCTGACTTGCCCAAGTCATTGGCGGCATTGATGCAGAGATGTTGGGATCACGACCCATCACTACGTCCATCCTTCTCAGAGGTATCGTCCAAGATGAATGAAGTGCTGATCGATATTGCAATCTCTGGCAATCCCAATGCAGCGGCATTTTGGAAGAACTCATTCGGCACACCCGATGATGTCAAGTGGGCAGAGTTTGCCATGAAGTTATCCAAGGCCACCAATGTAGATATCCGTGACATTGATATACTATCCAACCTCTTTGGTAAGTCCCATCCTATTCTGTGCTGTTCTTTCCTGTCAATCAATCAAACTAATCACTCAATCAATCTTAGTGCTATCACCAACTAATGAGGATACAAGCAGTGGAGTGGTCAACATTGAACGATTCGAGTTGATGACCAAATGGTTCGGACCATTCTATAGCAATGGAGTGGGCGCAGCGATACTGCAAGAGATGATGGCATTGCTGAAGAAGCTATGGTTCCACTTTGACATATCGCGCGATGTCTCTGAGCGTCGCTTGCGAGGACGTGCCGAGAACACGTTCTTGATTCGTCTGAGCCTCAACGACCCGGTCAACACGCCACTCACCATCTCCAAGATCAAGAACTCCAAGCCAACACACAAGAGAGTGGCGCGTGAGGATGAGCCGCCCTCTGCCGAGTACCCGCTGGGCTGCAAGTTCAGAGTGCCCATCGATGGCCAGGACATATGCTTCAGCAGTGTCATTGCCATTGTCGACAAGCTAAAGTCAATCAACAACCTTGGCAGTGAATGTCCACACAATGAGATCAAGATACCATACGTCAATGACTAACGATAGTCCAACTAATGAGATCAAGCAATGATGTCAAGCTCATGCCATGCAATGCAATGCAATGAAATGCTCTGGTCCCTGAGTCAGCATTGCCATGTTTGCTTGTTTGCAAATGAATGATTCATCATTCACAGACGTCTGTGCCTCTACCCTACCCCTGCCCTGCCCTACCCTCTACCCTACCATACCCTACAATCACGATTAATTAAAGGTCATAGTATCGTTGTCGGAAAATCACCTTACTTGCACAACAACTCCGACCAACAACAACAACAACAACATCCAAATCGGATAGTCAATGGTGAGAGTGAGTGAAGTGTGTGGTCCTTCGTTCGATTCATTGATGCCACGATTGATGCCTTGATCAGCGCAACGACGTAATACTGGTCGACTTTGAGGATACCACCATCTAAAGCAAGACGAGAATAAAAACTCCCATTGTTTCTGATAACCAGGAAGTAGCAGGTCATGTGATGAATACTCACACAACATAGACTCGTCTTTGATCGATGCAAAGAAAACGACCCCTCCCTTTTTCAGTTATTACTCACACCAAAGTGGTGTTTGCAAAGGATACAAGGCCCACGCTGATTGATTGACATAGTTAGGGGGTGGGTGGTTAGGGGGTTGGTCTACCTTTGTACCACTCACGAACAAAGGTCTTGATCTCAGTTTAGTCAGGTGGTCCACGACACGCACTCAATCTATTATCTATTTATTAAAGTCGTTGTGTTCTACGTCAATCACAACGATCTCATTCATTCATTCAAATATACTTCACCATCTATCCATTATCTATAATCAAACAATATATATATATTACAAGTATGAATCAATCAATGTTGCCACCCAACTCGGCATACCCTTGGGACTTGATGTCCTTGTTGACATCTCTCACATCGATGATGGCAATGACCATCGCTGTCTTGTCAATCTTATTGGCACTATTCATATACGCTGCCTACAAGGCACTGATCCGTTTCCCATGGCTTAGACCATTTACACCTGGCCAAGGCGATCCACTCACAGAGTGGGGAATCAAATACGAAGAGGTCGAGTTCAAAGCTTTCGATACTGATCACCTGATCCGAGGCTGGTGGGTACCTGCCGCACATGACAATGGTATGTTGATCAATCAATCAATCATTCTTGGAACCATTCCACTCACTAACCCATTCAATCAATCAATCAATGATAGACTTGAAGATATCAATCATCGCTCTTCATGGATCTGGAAGAGATAAGCATAACTACTTCCAACATATTAGACACTTCCACGAGATTGGATTGAATTCATTGATCTTTGATTGCCGTGAGAGTCTATGTGATAAGGACCAGACTGGAAAGGGACTGGGCTACTCATTCAGAGAGCACAAGGATGTCCGTGCAGCCATCCACTACGTCAAGAACACTCACACCACTCAATCAAAGAAGTTGATCGTCACTGGCATTTCAATGGGCGCCGCAAGCGTCGTAGTCGCATGCTCCAAGGATCGCGAGCTGATTGATGGCGTCATTGCCGAGGCTTGCTACAGTCATCCCAAGGACGCCTGGCAACACAACATCGAGAGGAACCTCAAGGAGGGTGTCAAGGCCTTTGCCTCAATCTCTGCCCTCTCCAAGGTCCTGCCAACATCAATCCCAAAGTGGCTCATGGATGCTATCCTCTCGACCACTATGTCAGTGATATTGCGCTCCGAGCACAACCTACACGAGTCTGATGTGCCAGTGCACCACATTGCCAACATCAGTCCAAAGCCTGTGATGCTCATCCACAACACCAGGGACAATGTTGTTCCCTATCGCAATTCACTGGCCTTGATTGAGGCTGCTCGCGAGCCAAAGGAACTTTGGACCATCGACAACGGACAGCCACTCCACGTCACTGCCATCGAGAACGACTTGACCAACGAGTACATCGAACGTCTAAATAAGTTTATCGAGAGCATTTAATAAACGTTAGAGATATATATAGATTATACGCCAAACTAAAGTGTGTGTTTCCATGTATTTCCATGTGTTTCCACTCTGCTTCCACCCTGTTTCCGTGTGTTTCCGCTGTTACCACCTCTGGCGCAATCACCTGAATTGGAGCTCCACTCACTGTGGAGAAGGTTGAGCTGCTGCTGCCTTCTTTCTGGTTGGTGGAACATAGCTTGCTAGAGGTAGTTCATCTATCTTGCTGGCTAGAATGAAGTCATTCTCAGACAGACCATTGAGTGCATGTGTGTACAACTCCACCTCAACATTCCAATACGACTCTATCATTCAGTGAGTATCAACGTTGTCAGTAAGTTAAAGGTTACTCACTCATCTTCAATCTCATCTCATTACACTTACTAATTGACACATCTGGATGATGACCTTCCTCCTCGGCCACTGTTGTAATCTCATTGATGAACTCAACACCCTTGGGGAATGGCATTCTCCACCTCCTATATATCTTGTTTGGTTCTGACTCTATCAACTTCCACTCTTTGTTCAACTGTGTCAACATGTCTTTGGCCTGCTCAAGTGTTTGTCTATGTACATCTCCTCCCTCACTAATGAGTGACATGTGCTCATATGTCAGTTGGACATACGCCATTGTACGATTCCCGACGATGATGAACATACCATGGCTTGCACTTCTGTTTACTAAGAGAGCAATACTGTTGTTGTAATGACATTATGTTATTGGTTGAAGCAAACAATGAATGATAATGTTGTTGATTGAATGATGTTGATGTTGCTGTTGAAGTTGCTATTCTCAATGTCTTTGCTGATGCATTAGCCCAACAATATCTTGTAGTGATTGTCAACATTAATACTATCAACAACAGTATTTGTATAACTCTACCTGACATCAGATCAATATATAACAACTGTTATGTTCACATTATCTCGTTCATCTCTTTATCTAATTCATTCATTCATTCATTCATTCCAAAACTAAACTAATCTAAATGCGATTGACCAGGATCGTTGGTTCACTTCACTCCACGTATGTTGAACAGATGCCAACAATCAAAGTGACCACCTCACATATCAATAACATGTTCAAAGAGATAAGGGTTCTCCAACAACAAACAACTCGAATAGACACGTGTTCCAAGATCACCAGTGGTTGTCTTCTCCCTTTTTTCTTCCAGGCATCCAAGTTTCAAAGGTGATCACACCCCTCACTTTCAAGAAAATAAAAATAAACAAAAACACAACAATTAATAAATAAAGGGCAGATGGTCCAAATCATCCTGATGAGGCAAGCACTCTCAACCAATTGAATTGACCAGACAGACAGTCATTCAAACACACTCTATATCTTTATTATTATTATCTTTATTTGTGTAAGTTTGATTGATTATAGCTTTCACAACATCAACAACAGATTTGTTTGACAAGATATCAGAAAGACAGACAGAGAGACACACACAATATCTTCACCTTCCTTTCACAAGTACGTCAGACTTCAAAACCCCTCAACACACTCATTCATTCAACTTGCAAATCCACATTAATCATCATTGTTGTTGTTGTTGTTGTTTTGTTGTTTATTGGAAGTTGGACAACTACTACTACACCTACCTGCTATTACTATTTTGCAAACACAGATATACTAATTATCATAATACCTTTTGAATAGATACTTAATATATATATATACATATAGAACATAATGGCAGCGAACGCTAACGCCAACAACTTGGAGAACCTATGGGCTCAATGTGAGAAGCCCTTCCAAGACCTCTTCACTCAACTGAAGAGTGGTCTTACAAATGATCGTTATATGAAGATCTATACGTATGGTCATCATTCATTCAATCAATCAATCAATCAATCAATCAAATCAATCATACTAACTATTAAATAATCCAACAAATACAGTCAGGTATACAACTATTGTTCATCACAGAATGACGGTGTGTTGAAGGAGTTCTATCCAAAGATCCTGTCTTTGCTTAACGGCAAGGCAACAGAGATCATTGAGGGTGGCACTCATCTCTCAGAGGATGAGTTGTTGCTCTTCTTTAGAAACAAGTGGAATGATTGGAAGTTCTCCACCAGAGTGCTTAAGAGTTGGTTGGAACCAGTCGTAAGTTATCATCATTGTCCGCATTGATTGATTGAATGATTGAATGAATGGATATTAACAAATACATAATACAACAAATAATAATAATAATAATATAGAACAAGATACATCAGAGTGATAATAGCAACAAGAGCACAAACATTGGCAACTCTCAGAACCCACCACAGTCAAAGATCTTGCAGGATGGTCTCACGGCTTGGAAGCAAGCAGCCTTTGATAAGATGCACAACAGACTCACTGGTTCGTTGCTGAGGATTGTGAAGAATGACAGAGAGGACAGAGACTCTTCAAATCTCCAAGTACTCTCAGATACACTTGAGTGTTATGGTATGTGTTTATCCCTTTGTCCGCATACTCATACTCATACTCATACTAATAATAATACTATTCACATCAATATAGTTCAATTGGGCTCTGATAAGAACAAGTTGGATGTTTACCAAGCCAACTTTGAGACCAAGTTCCTACAAGAGACTGAAGCCTTCTACAAGGTTGAGTCCTTGGATCATGTCGCCAAGAATGGTATCCCAGCCTACATGAGACACATTGCAAAGCGTGTGGAGGAGGAGAGATCGAGAGTGTTGAAGTTCATGCCAATCTCCACGTTGGACAAACTCGACCCATTGCTCAACAAGACTCTGATCATCGACTACAAGGAGGAGTTTGCCAACAAGTTCCTCGACTTGCTGCTCGAGAACAAGGAGGACGAGCTGGCAATGATGTACAACCTCTTGCTGCGTGTCGACCATCTCGAGACACTCAGGATCAAGCTCCAGGAGTTCATCAAGTCCGAGGGACTCAAGGAGATTGAGAAGGACCTCAAGGAGGCCCAGGAGAAGCCCCAGGTGCTCGTCAAGATCCTGCTCGAGGTGTACAACCGCTTCAACAAGCTGATCAAGACGGCGTTCAACAACGACCCCAAGTTCCTCTCGGCCATGGACCAGTCTTTCTCGGTGGTCATCAACAGCAACCCCGCCTCGTACGACCAGAAGAAGAAGGAGTCCAACATCCCAGTCGTGTTGGCCAAGTTCTGTGATCAGATCCTCAAGAAGGGTCCATACCACATCAGTGACGAAGCCGAGCTGGAGAACAAGCTGTCAGAGGCTGTCTGTCTGTTCAAGTACCTCCCAGACAAGGATATCTTCATGCTGAACTACCAGAAGTTCTTGTCCAAGCGTCTCGTCGAGGATCTCTCGGCCAGTGAGGATGCTGAGGCCTCAATGATCAACAAGCTCAAGACCCATCAAGGTTTCGATTACTGCACCAAGCTGACAAGAATGATTAACGATATGAGACTGTGCAAGGATATCAACTCCAACTTCCAGAACTACCTCAATGAGGCAAACCTTACTCTTCCATGTATGTTATGATGTGCATGTGATGATGTGATGTGGATGAACAACAGATTACTAACAAACAAACAAACAAACAAAATAGATACGTTCAACTTCTACGTGTTGACTGGTGGATCATGGTCATTGACGAACAAGACCTCCTCAACACCTTTCAAGCCTCCAACAGAGATGCTTCCAAGTTTAACATATTTCGAGAAGTTCTACAAGAACAGCTACAAGGGTAGAGTGCTCAACTTCCTCTACGATTTCTCCAGAGCAGAGGTCGACTCACGTCAAGTCAGAGGCAAGATTTACAAACTCTCAGTAAGTTCCAATCATTCAATCAATCAATCAATCAATGTGATCATTAACTAACTTTGTACTCTACATTACAACAGACAACTGCATACCAGATGGCCATTTTGTTGATGCTCAACACCACTGATAAGGTCACTAGATTCCAGGTCTTGGACACAATCGGACTTGATGAGATGAACGTTCGTCTGCCACTGCTATCGTTGATCAAGTCTGGAATCATTGACACTGATGTTGCCGACCACAAGGAGTGGAACAACGAGACGACATTCTCAATCAACACCAAGTTCACATCAAAGAAGATGAAGGTCAACTGCAACATCCCCGTGCAGATCGGTGACACAAAGACCAGCGAGGGCCAGCAGACCGTGTCCAACACCGAGATTGAGAAGGAGCGTTACTTCAAGCTTCAGGCGGCCATCGTGCGTATCATGAAGTCCAAGAAGGTGATGAACCACAACGAGCTCGTCGTCGAGACCACCAACCAGATGACCAAGTGGTTCTCGCCAAAGATCCCCACCATCAAGAAGGCAATCGAATATCTTATCGAGCAGGAGTACATTAGAAGAACTTCTGACGATAACCAAAGCCAGAGGAAGTATGAATACATTGCATAGTCAGTCAAGTCAAGCCAACAATCACAACAATCAATCCAATCCAATCAAATCAATCAAACTCATCTTGCAATCCTTGCGATTCTCCTCTTCACGACTCTCTCTCTTCCCCAACTTGGCAATACAAACAACAATATCAACAACAATACTATCTTGTATTAACATTACCAGACATTTCCAAATCAGGCTTTCTCTTTGCGATCACATTAAACAAAACAACATCCAGTTGACCATTTAGTTTGCATAAGACTTGGTTTGGTTTATGACTTGTATTTGTTTGAGTTTCAAGGTTACCTCCTCGATCAATCAATGTTCCATGGGAGGATTCCAATATTGATTTATTGATTGATTAATTGATCTTGTTGTGTAGTAGTTTATATCTTTAGTTTTATAAGTGTTGTGGATTGATGTTGCCAACTTAATTTGCTAATCACCACTGAAGTAGACGACCAACAACTCAAAGCCTGCTTTCTTCTTGCAGCCCAATCATTGATTCACAACAGCAAATATTGTGTCTCGTTAATAGAAATGACTGTCATAATCGTAAAAACGATCATTTTTGCCTACATGTTCCAAACGTTGATGAAAAGTATTATGGGACAAAAATGAATACAAAATTTTTTTATTTGTTGATAAACATATCAAAATATCTACTACTATCTTCTGATCCACTATTATCATCAAATAAATTATCTCCACTGTCATCAGGTCCAAAGGTGAATTCTGAAAAGATATCGTCTTCATTTGTTATATCACCTCCAAAAATACTGGGCGATGTATCACCTTGTGTGCCTTCCACAATGTTAGCACAGACCGCGTGGATTCCAACTATTAAGAAAATAGTTATTAATAAAATGATAATAATCTTCATTGTTATTATATTCAATATGATAGTTAATTACTTATTTAATTAATTTGTTATTTGATTTTGATTCAGAACTAATTTATTCACACATATATATATATATATTTTTGTTTAAAGGTAGTCTTCCCAACAATTAAGTCTTCATTTCAATCTTAAGTAATCCTAATAATAAATGAATATTCATCACATAAGATATGATAATTGGAGTGATAATTAAGTGTTAGTGTGTTGTGTGTGTTTGAGATCGATGACCTCATTGCCAAAGTGGGAATTGATTAATTAATTAATCCTTGTAAAATCCAAAACACTTAGATTCAATCGATTATTGGTTGGTTGTCCAAAATCAAACAATTAAATATTAATATTTTTCTTTAATTGAGATAAGTCTACATTTAGGAAAATAGTTTTACGCCTGATTCAGCAACTATCGTGGACTTGTCAAAGAATATGCTGAGTATGCAGCCCAGCA